CCCCTACACCCCACTCCCTACACACATATTTCATCTGGTCTTTATTTGTACCCCGCCACCATCTCCCCAGCGGGGACTTGGGGCGGCTTACATGGGGCCAAGCCCAAAAACACAGCAACAAAAAAAAATCAAAACATAAACAATAACATAATCAATTACATAAAACATACACTATAAGAATATTACAACCAATATACAGTAAAATAAAACCATTCAAGACACAAAACACTATCAGTTGGAAGGCAAGAACTAAGTGCTTCCTTTCCCCCTCACTTCCAAGGAGGAAGCAGACAGCTCTCCAAGGCCTGGGGGAACCAAACTGTTTTGGAATAATTTGGAGCCTCTGTGCTAAAATCAATTCAATACCACTGATGTTCAGAAACCCAGGATTGGGATATATCCCTATTCTAAAAATACAACACTTGTTGGAAACTATCCAGGCTTCCTCTGGCACTCTCTTGACTTAAACCCGGACTCCTGGCCACCGACTCTAATTTATTTTTTCATATCTTTTTAGTTTCCAACTGGCATCGTCCAGCGGAAAGGGTAAGCCAAATAAAAACAACGAAGAATCCAGCAGCACCTTGAAGACCGATATAGTTATTATGACATTTTGTGGACCTACTTCAACAGATGGAAGGCTTAAGCTGTGAAAACAACATCTCTTTGGTCTTGACGGTGCCACTGAGATGCCTTGTTGTTTCTGATAGATCAGAATAAGATGGGCTCCCCTCTACCTTGTGCCTCCCAGTTCTACGAAAATCTCATCCATTTTTCGACTGGTTAACAGGGTGGGAGAAAGGAGTGGGTGGGATTCACCACCAGCCCCGTAAATTAAACTAGGTCAGCCTGCCGCAGAGCTGCTCCCAGTCTCCCTGCGCTAGGTCAGCTCCTGCTTCATCATGAGAAACAGATACTCAGAAGTTTGAGTTTCCAGCAGCTATGGGCAACCATCATTTTGGCCCACTGTCACTTCCAAATCTGAAAAAATAAGTTGTCCACCAGGGCCTTTGCCCCGCAGCTGGGTAAGCTTCCCCTTTAATTCTACTTTCCGCCCTGTTTCCCACATTCAATATTTAATCGGTCCCTGTGGCTAAGTCACAATGTGATATCAAAGGGAATATCCATGTGGGGAAGAAGAGGAGGGGAGAGCCAATTGGTGCCTGCACAGGGCACAGGTTTAGGCTGGGTATCAAGGTTAATTCACGAGTTTGGGGAAAATATACTTTCAATTTTTAATGTCAGGGGCAACTTGAGAAACTGCAAGTCGCTTCTAGTGTGATCTAGCCAATAGACAAGGTGTCACACAAATATAGCCCAATACACAAGGTGTGTAAGTGTGTGTGTGTGTGTGTGTATCAAGGTTAATTCCCAAGTTTGGGGGGGAAATATACTTTCAATTTTTTTCATGTCAGGAGCAACTTGAGAAACTGCAAGTCGCTTCTAGTGTGAGAGAATTGGCTGTATGCAAGGACGTCACCCAGAGAATGCCCAGAAAGGAGTCTAATTAAATTAATCTGTAGACATACCTCTAACAAAGCAAGCCTTCCAAATTGTAGAAAAGTGATGTACTTGTGCCTTAGTTGTAGGTTTGCTCATGGACCTTTCCCCTACGGGCCACAGAGCTACCCAAAGCTGGGGGATTTGTGCCCTTGTATTCCACCTTTTTTCCCCCCTTCCTTTTTCGTGTCAGGAGCGACTTGAGAAACTGCAAGTCGCTTCTGGTGTAAGAGAATAGCCCGTCTGCAAGGACATTGCCCAGGGAATGCCTGGATGTTTTACCATCGTGTGGGAGGCTTCTCTCATATCCCTGCATGTGAATCTGGAGCTGACAGATGGGAGCTCACCCTGCTCCCCGGATTTAAACCACAACCTTTCGGTCAGCAGTCCTGCCGGCACAAGGGTTTAACCCATTAGTTTACCGGGGGCTCCTACTTTCAAATAAAACTGAACCTTCATACTTGCTTTGCCAAATGGTTGTTTTTTATGTTGTTAGATTTTATTTCTATCCTGCCTTTCTCCCCATGAGGTGTTCGAAGTGTTCACAATATGACACAAGCCAAAGAATTCAAAACAAGCAAATACAAAAATAATTAATATCAATTATATAGATAGATGAAGATATAAATACAATTAAAATTACACTGAAAGCTCCCCACACCTTCCAAAATCCCACCCATAACCTCCCCAACAGCAGAACCCCCCAACTGTCCCCATCCCTGAGATCAAGACTGTTGTTTATTTGAGAGGTTCGTTTATGGTGTGATGGTGGCTGAAGAGATGTTTACGCAAAAGATCCTTCACTAGGGATGTAAATAACTCCTTGCACAAGCGCCGTGTGTGCCAGGGAGGTATTAGCCCAAACCAAGTCGGAATTGTTTCTTTCCCAAGGAGATGGAGGAGGAGGAGGAAAGGTTATAGCCCAACCAGACAGGGATCACTCAAATGTCATCTGTCCATCTACAGACCTTTGTTATGACTCAAAGGGGGAAATCGTTCTTCTTTCTGTGACACCTTGCTGCACAATGCAGCTGAGAATGTACTCACCACAATCTCACCCAGTTTATTGTGGGGAGTGGTCTGGGAAGGCCTCTATGTGCGTGCCAATGTTTTGGACACAACTCCACAGAGGCTGCAAAGGGGGAAAGGCGTTTCTAGGGTTTTCCTGCGACCTGCTGTCACCGCCCGTCCCTATGCTTTGCAATGGGGTTGTTGCTCGCGGCTACGACACGGCCGTGGCCCATGGGACAAAGCGACCGGTCACAGATCCTACTAGCCCTGCCATGGCTCATTTATCATCGGTAAAATGGGAGCAAAGCTGATAGCAAGCCATAGTTTTGCATGTGAGGAAAGAGAGGAACAAGGGTCCCTTGTCACATATATGGCAGTGTGGACTCAGATAACCCAGTACAAAGCAGATATTCTGGGATTTTCTGTCTTGCTATTCTGGGTTACGGTATATGGCTGTGTTGAAGGCCCTCAGATAACCCAGTTCAAAGCAGATATTGTGGGTTTGTTTGCCTTGCTATTCTGGGATATAGGGCTGTGTGGAAGGGCCCTCAGATAATCCAGTTCAAAGCAGATATTGTGGGTTTGTTTGCCTTGCTATTCTGGGATATAGGGCTGTGTGGAAGGGCCCACAGATAACCCAGTTCAAAGCAGATATTGTGGGTTTTTCTGCCTTGATATTCTGGGATATTTTCTTTTTTCGTGTCAGGAGCGACTTGAGAAACTGCAAGTCACTTCTGGTGTGAGAGAATTGGCCGCCTGCAAGGACGTTGCCCAGGGGACGCCCGGATGTTTGATGTTTTTACCATCCTTGTGGGAGGCTTCTCTCATGTCCCCACATGGGGAGCTGGAGCTGACAGAGGGAGCTCATCTGTGCTCTCCCCGGATTCAAACCTACGACCTGTCGGTCTTCAGTCCTCCGGGCACAAGGGTTTAACCCACTGCGCCACTGGGGGCTCCTTATTCTGGGATAAAGGGCTGTGTGGAAGGGCCCACAGACAACAAAGTTCAAAGCAGATATTATGAGATTATCTGCCATGAAATTCTGGGTTATAGGGCTGTGTGGAAGGGCCCACAGATAACCCTGTTGAAAGCAGATATTATGGGATTGTCTGCCTTGAAATTCCGGGTTATAGGGCTGTGTGGAAGAGCGAGTTCAAAGCAGACGTTGTGGGATTTTCTGCCTTGATATACTGGAATATAGGGCTGTGTGGAAGGGGCCCCAGATAACCCAGTTCAAAACAGATATTGTGGGATTGTCTCCCTTTAAATTCTGGGTTATAGGGCTGTGTGGAAAAGTGAGTTCAAAACAGATGTTATGGGATTTCCTTCCTTAATATTTTGGGATATATGGCTGTGTGGAAGGGCCCACAGATAACCCAGTTCAAAGCAGATACTGTGGATTTTTCTGCCTTGGTATTCTGATTTATTGGGCTGTGTGGAAGGGGTCTCGGGTAACCCAATTCAAAGCAGATATTATGGGATTGTCTGCCTTGAAATTCTGGGTTATAGAGCTGTGTGGAAAAGCAAGTTCAAAGCAGATGTTATGGGATTTCCTTCCTTAATATTTTGGGATATATGGCTATGTGGAAGGGCCCACAGATAACCCAATTCAAAGCAGATATTCTGGGATATTCTGCCTTGGTATTGTGGATTATATAGCTGTGTGGAAGGGCCCACAGATAACCCAGTTCAAAGCAGATATTGTGGATGTTTCTGCCTTGGTATTCTGGGCTATAGGGCTGTGTGGAAGGGGTCTCAGATAACCCAGTTCAAAGCAGATATTGTGGGATTGTCTGCCTTGAAATTCTGGGTTATAGGGCTGTGTGGACGAGCGAGTTCAAAGCAGATGTTATGGGATATCCTTCCTTGATATTCTGGGATATATGGCTGTGTGGAAGGGCCCACAGATAACCCAGTTCAAAGCAGATGTTATGGGATTTCCTTCCTTGATATTCTGGGATATAGGGCTGTGTGGAGGGGCCCACTGATAACCCAGTTCAAACCAGATATTCTGGGATATTCTGCCTTGGTATTGTGGATTATATGGCTGTGTGGAAGGACCCACAGATAACCCAGTTCAAAGCAGATATTGTGTGTTTTCTGCCTTGGTATTCTGGGTTATAGGGCTGTGTGGATGGGCCCAGAGACACAAATGGGTGGTCTTGCATGAGAATAAGGGCAAGGGTGGTCTTACATCCCTAAACCAGTCCCCCTTCCCCCAGCAGAGAGATACACAAAGCCAGCACATTCCAACACACAGCCAAGGATGCACATGATCCCCATGCTGCCTGCCTGCCTGCCTGCCCCCTTTGTGTGGTTGTCCTCTCCTCCTCCAAAATAAGACCACTGCCCCCCCCCCCCCCCAATCCTTTGAGAAAGCCATAGAGGGGTGCCTTCCCCTCTCCTCCCTACTCACACCCCATATAAACTTTTAGGGTGCCTCAATAGGAGACACTGTATACACACAGAGACAGACATACAAATCTTAC